AGTGTAGGGCTAAGTCTCTCCATTGTGACTCTTTTTACTGACATCATTGACTAACTTGTGCCTGGGATGTTACTATATTTCTTGTGTAGCGTAATGTGTTGGGAATTCAGTTTCACAATTCAGACAGCTTTTGGCACATCTTACTTGGTATAACTTCAGTGCAGTAAAGGCCTTTAACTGCAGTATTAAGCCTCCTTACTCATTCAGATGAGTCAGATTAAGACTTCATCTATGACAGAAAGTAGCATATCTATACAGCTATTGGCAAGAAGAATTCAGAGAGTCTGAATTGAAAAGCAAAAGAAGGAGAGCTAATGCCTGGTAGCATTATGAGCCTTCGTTACAAGCTTATTGTGAGTGTGCTGTGGGATTTTTTTTTTTTAAATTGGGGCATAAAGGTACTTCCAGTTCTCCCCCTACTCATCTCCTGTGGGCTGATCTGCCCTCCGGCCCACACACAAGTGCTGATCACCTGTAGCTCACATAGTTTGAGGTAGGTGATCTGAAAATTAAGCCTTTGATTTTTATTATAGCTAACCTAGAAACTTCCACTTTTTTTCTGAGAGAGAATTAAAAACAGAAAAAGTGGGAACTTGGCCTGTTCTCTGCTGACTACATGAAATCAAGTCGTGAAAGTTCAAAGTCTGTGTTAACTGCCATGTCATTAAAGCTAGTGGAAGGCTTCAGAAACCTGATCAAAGGGTTAGGGTTCTTAATTATGCCAGTATGGAGTAAAACTGTGCTGAAAAATCAGCATATACCTTTTTGGGGGAGGATATTTGCCACTTTAGCCAGAGAGCCTAGTGTTTAAGACCGTGTCTGTACTGTCTTAGTTCTGTAGCATTTTAATCCTGTTTCGTACAATCTGTTTGAATGACTTGAATTTTTGTAGCTAGACTTAAATTAGTGCCCTTGTGCAGGTAAGACTAGATTGCTGTTTCTGTGTACAGAGTTTAAGTCGTAGTTGGCTAGTTTAATGTAGTTTTTGGAGACTCATGTGACAGAGTTATTGTGGCAGCATGGAGTGCTAAGGGAATGGGCCAGAGCTTTCAATAATTCTCCATGGTTCTGTGGTAGGAGGTAAAGCAGTGTTGTCAGTGCCTCCAGAAATAGATTTTTGCATCATGTCTTTTATAGCATAAGTTGCAGTATTATATCGAAATATGCTCAATTAAAACAGGTAACTTCTCTCATAGCCATCAGTTTTCTTTTTGGGTTTTTATTAAAAGGCACTTTTTACTAGATTAGAAATAAATTGCTGTTTAAAACAGTGTATTTATTTGAGGCTAGCTTCATTTTGTTTTCCATGTACACTTTTTTTTATTGGATAATATTGTCAAATTATTACTACAGAAAATAATGTGACAGTCTTCCTCTCCCTCCTATTAAGTTTTCTTTGGTAGCATTCGGAGACTAATGGCCTGTTAGGAGCTTTGTCGTGAAACAGTGAATGAGCTTAGTGTGAACAGTATGACAGGAAAATGTAATTGTAGTTCTAGCTGTAGTATAACTTCACCAAAATATTGGAGCATGACTTTTCAGAGTTGTTATTGCACAGCTATTAGCAAGACACCTGATGCAACTGGTTGGGGCAGGGAGTGGCTTTTTACTGTCTGCTTAATATTAATTTGGAAGACCATTTGGCGCATAGAATAAATAATTGGTATACTCAATTTTAAATGGTTTACATCCTGTGATCTACATATAAGTTTTACTAGGTATAGTAAATATTGAACGTTGTGTTCCTTCTCCATATATGATTTTAATATTATAGTTAGCAGTGTTAATGTTTAACTGATAGCTGGCTGTGAGAATTGCAAGTGGAACAGGAGATTTCTTAAGGTAATTTTGTGGGTATCTGTTAGTGACAAGTATTGCTGCTTTTAGTATAGGTATTGAGATTTCCCTCCCCGAATTAGCAGGGTCTTGTTGTTTTATATTGTATTTAGAAAGACATATTTGTAGCTTGTTTTTCAACTTGAATGGTATATTAGATAACTGAACACTTACATTCAAACCACAAGCAACAGAGAATAGTTCAGCTGTTTCACACCACCATTTGACTAGCAGTGCTGAAACCCATGACAGCATTGCCCTCTAGAGGGCACTTTTTTAGTGATTTGAGGGGATATTGGCATTTTTACTAACCACATTCACCTCTAATTTCTATTGTGTACCCCATCTTCACTGTAGTACAAAACATCATCTTTTAGGAGCTGCATTGTCTCCCCAGGTAAGGCACCGACACAAGGTAGTGAAGGGACAAGTTAGAGCTGCCTCTTGCTTGAAGCATAAGAACATAACTGGCATTTTATTGGATCCACACCATAGATCCATCTTGCCTGGTATCCCATGTCACAAAGAGGAAGAGAGTGGATGCTGAAAAGGAAGAATGAACAGGTTATGACCAAGACTTTTCCTCTACTCTTCTTGCACTTGCATCTTCCAGCATTTAAGGTCAGGAAGTTTTGATTCCTTAATTCTCATGGTCGATAGCTACTGATGCACATCTCCTCCAAGAGTTTGTCCAATCCGTTTCTGAATCTGACTGAATCTGTCAGCTTCCACTTCTTGTGGCAGTGAGTTCTGCACTTCAGTTGCATGCTGTGCGAAAAAGAACTGTCTCTTGTTTTAAGCTTAATGTATCTTCATTTCATTCTTATGATCCTTAGTTCTGTATTATAAGTCACAGTAAATAACAGATCCCTGTTTTGCTTTCTCTTCACGGTTCAGTATTTTGTAGCCCTTATCTTTTCCCCCCATAAGCGTCTTTTCTAAACTGAATTGGCCTAGCCTCTTGTTGTCTGGAAAACCCTCTGTGCTATCAGGTCTTATGCCAAGGTTTTACTTGACTCATTTGCCAGGGGAAAATGGCTATTACAGTATTTAATTTAATTGGCGGTTTTGTTTTGTGTTAGATTTTTAAGCTGTTTGGGGTAGGGACAGCATGCATTACTTGCCTCTAACAATCATGGTAAAAGCACTTTAGTTTTTCTTTTGCGTTAGAATGTGTTCGCCACAATTAATCTAGTGTTATATGTTGTGGTTTGTTGGTTAATCTTGCCTCCTCATGTAACACCTAATGAGTAACACTGGTCTAAACGTATTACCGAGCACAGTTTAGCTTTGTCTATGGTGTCTAGTCAAATGGTATCAATTGTTAGAACAGTGGAACTTTTAAGCATTATTCCTAAACCTAGATCCTGATCGCCTAAAGACTGAAATGTATAGGAAAGCTTTCCTGACTATACAAAACAACACTTCCAGTATAAAATAGTCTGCTTAATAAAAAGTTGAGTAATTCAGGCATTTAATGAATGCGGATGTGCACAAAAAGTACTGTAGCATCTTGTATAATGAATGAGAAGTGGATGGGGGGACATTAAGTAATTTTAATTTCTGGAATATCTGATAGAAGGTAATAAAGTCAACTAAGATCTCTAATGAGAGAGTCTGAATAGATAACTTGAAGTTTTTTCCTTTTTCACATCATTCTTAGAAGGCACTTTCCTGATTGGTCAGACATACTTGCTCTTCAAGGGTTTGAGCAAATAGTATGGTTCAGACTCTTGCCAAGTGCACACAGAAAATCAGCAGTGATGCAATGTGTACTGGCTTTGGCACTTGCTTATAATGACGACATTGTTAGTTACACAACAGCATCTGCAGCGTGGAAGTCATTGGCACTGCAGCGGCAGCTGCTAAAGTGATTTGAGTGATGATTCCTTACCCAGATGTACTGGACAGTTGGGAGCAGAAGTCACTAGCCTATTGAGAATTAAAGTTCCTAGTGCTGTGTAGGAAGAAGTTTAAATGGTGTAAATCAAACGGATGGAAAGCAAGCTTTCTGGCCTGGGTGTTCCTCTCACTTAAATTTCTTAAATTTTGGGAACAGTGGTCAGAATATAATTGAAAAATACTATTCTATTGGATTATTTACTGCCCACAACACCCGCTTCAGTACTGTTGGTGCAACAGTCTTGGGCCAACCTCAAGCACCAAGAGAACCATGCTGCCCAGGGTTTTTAAAATTTGTTGTATTAACAACATGGAATTGGTGTGAAGACTTGGCATTAGATGAATTCTTAGTAAAACGTTCGTTTTCCCTTTAGATGTATTTAACCCATGTTAGAGTGCATATTCTTCCTGTGAGCTTTGCTCAGATGGTGGTAGGAAGAGGAATTGTCTTCTGTGCCAAGTAAATGCTTATTGGTGTATCTGCTTAGTGCCATACACACGTCAAATGTGCATAATGTCATAAATCCTTAGCTAAGAGAACCACCTAATTTGAGCTCAGAAGTGAGCCTAACGTATCTTTAGCATTGCTTTATGTTGTAAATTTGATGCAATATGCCATGTTACAGTGCAAAGTCCCAGGAAGCTTCTAGCTTGCGGTCAGAAACACTTTTGCATTGCTTTAAACTCCACCCTTGAATTTCAGCCAGTGTCAGAGTGCCCTATAGGACTGTTGCTTGTCTGTGCCATATATTGCAAACTGAAACAGAATAAAATCATTAGCAACCTTTACCATATTGTGTGGAGATAGTGCTTGTATATGTTGCATGTGTATAATGGCTGTGCTGATGGTGGTGTGGTGTTCTTCCCCCACCACTTTCCATTAAGAAGGTGCTCCAGAAGCTTCTTGTCCATGTCCCAGGTACTAGTAGAGCCCCTGAGACTGCCTAATTTTGAGATGGAATGTGATTAGTTTGTGAAAGGGATTATGATATTGTTGTGCGCGGTAGCTTACTGGGCTTTCTGATCCAGAAGGGGCCTTTCAATCCTGTGCTCCTGAAAGCAAAAGGCGGACAGAGATTGTGCTGACCCAGAGATGGAGAAATGCTGACAGGGTGTAAATTGGAATATGTTATGTGGAAAATGCATTAGTTTGGGCATGAGTTGCCCATCTATTTTTAAGATACTATTTGAAGCTGGGTACCTAATTCTTCACAAGAGCCCAAAGTGGTTCTGAAAAGTTTCTCAATAAAAAAAAATAATAATGTCTTGTTTTCTCTTTCAGACGGAATGAACACTCCTTGTTGAATGCCTCCAGATTTCCTGTGGGATTTCACACGTGGAGAATTTTTTCCTTTTGGTTGAAGCTATTTTGTGGCAGATTAAATTGTGGATTCAGGGTTTCCCAAGGTTTTTCGATCTTGAGGACGTAACAACAGCTGAATCACGTTAACCTGACATCAGAGCCACGATGGTGCTGTCACAAAGGCAACGAGATGAACTGTAAGTGTTTTCATAGAGTGAAACATGGGCTGTTTTACACTCTTTCTATTTCCACAGAAAAGTACATATTTCATTCCCACCTACATTCCTTGAAAAGGTGATGTTCACATTTTGCTTTGAGTTTTTTGTGGATTATCTTTTTTTCATCTGCTTGTATATTTATACAATGGCTGTAGTGGCAAAAGGAATAGCTAAGTTATATAAAAGCAAGCTAAGGTATGATGTGGGCAGTGGTGAGTCAAAGTACAGATAGAGGAGAATTAATATCAAATTATTCTTTATAGTGCTTAAAGAGAATTAGGTTTAAAAGCAATATTAGCATCAGCTGAAATGGGTAATTGGTTTTGGCCTTCGAATAAAGAGAATTCTGCTGTGGAAGTTTGTCTTTATTTAATGGGCATAGACTAGAACAAATTGAAGTTAAGAACTTTAAAAATATATTTTTTCTATATCATCTTCAATCCTAAGTGCGTGTAGGTCTTCAGATTGAAAGAAATGGAGTAAAAACAATGGATAGGGGAAGGGAATACAAGTGCAAGCAAAATGAGACAGGTAGTGTAACTAACAAGGCTTTTTACTTTCAGCCTGTTTTGTTCTCTGATTTAGTTTTTTGACCTCCTGTCCTTGACCAGCCTTCTTCACCCTTTAGTGTTTTAATGATAACCTCCTTTCCCCCATCTCAATTTCCATTGTCCTTGTCCTCTGCCTCCATCAGAGTTTGGTGAAAGGAGTTCAGTCATGAAGGGACTAAAGCCAAGTGGTCTTTTGGAATACTTGCTCCTACATATTCTAAGGGGGTGGAATAAAAAGGAAGAAGACATGTCTTGAACAAATCCTGGTGCACACTTTGCTGCTACATCTTTGCCTCATGAGTATCCAGTCAGCAGTATGCCTCTTGGGGTACAGGTGCCTGCCCCAGGAGTCTTGGAGGAGTCTGGCTCTCTTTACCATTTTGTCTTAAGCTGTATTTAAAAAGACACGGAGATTGAATAGTTCAGACTTAGAACAATAGAGCACATGGTCTTCTGTGCTTCTGCTTCCTTCTTCCCAGTTGGACAACTGCCAAAATGGCCCATGAATGCATGGCCTGACCTGTTCCTTTTAGTTGTATTATAAAAATGTGAAAGCAGTGGTTGGATACCTTTTTCTTTTGGAGAACATTGCTTGTCATTGTAGAGGTATGAAAACAACAGCAAAAGTTAGAACTTAGTCTTATTAACTGATCTTGGACTTGGTGTTTTCCCCCTTTGTATATTTGTGGATTTAGGAGTAGACAGCTATCTCCCTGGTGTCAGAACAGTCCTCTTAATATGTATTATATGCATGTCATTTCATCCTGTTATTTTACTAATTAAGAATTTTTAAATGAAGCTCTGAGGTAAAATCTTGATGGATTGAGACAGTGCATCAGCTTTTTTTTAATTCAGCTTTTTGCAAACGGTGTATTGACAAGTCCTTAAAGAAGCCACTCGGGAGAGGCTTCTTGAACACATCCAGAATTAAATTTATTTTCTTATTTACTGCTTGAAGTTTTGGCATCTGGAAGAGATGTGAATAGGGAGTAAAAATAATGAGCTGTATTAAGTGGATAATTAGTAACTGATGAGGCATTTGGGGGTTAACTTTTTTAGAGCAGTCATTCTCAACCAGGATGCTGGGGGTATCCTGGTGTGCTGTCAGGTCCTTTGAAGGTTGCCGCAAGGTGTGAGGAGGTAAGTGAGATATAAGGAGATAAGTGGTAGATAAACACAGGCTCAGGCTGGTCCCTGTCTGAAGAGTTCCCCCATCCCCACTGCCTAGCCCCTGTACAAGGGAGTAAACTCTATAATATAAAGTAGTTTTTGAAACTGGGTGCCACTCAATTCATAGAAAATAGGGTGGGGTGGCTCAAGTCCAGTGAGGTGTGCTTCAAGCCCAGTAAAGGTGCTTCAAGTCCAAAAAGGTTCAGAACCACTTGCAAGGCTTGAGAACGTGAGAGGGAGGCCAGAGGAAGTTCTTATGTTCTTAATATGAGAACAAAGAATAAATATTGGAGTGAGATTTACAATTCTCCTCTGAACTTGAAGTGATGGTTAGAATGAATGCTTGAGGGGAGACTGGGATGGCAAATTTAGGAAGTATGGGGGAGCACAATGGTTAATAAAGAAAGGCAACTAAAGGGAATTTGGCTTTGTGATTCAGTGCAGTGATACTTATCTCTTTCTGTGGGGTAGAGATGTACCGCTATCCAGGGTGTCCACAGGAGGTGGACAGTGGAATGACCTTCAGGGAAGGTTAGCTGTGAAATAAGCAGAGGAAACTGACAAATAAGCAGTCGCAAACCAAGCAGTGGCAGCACCACTAGGATGTGGTGAGGACAGTAGATGGCAGTGCTTTCCCTCCTGAAAAACCACATGCATCTTTGGTGCTGTGACATGCCAAGTACAGTTCACTACCAATATAAGCCTGACCAGCCCTCAGCTGTGGCTCTGCAAGTCCTCAACAGCGGAGCAGGTGGAAGAAAATGTTAGAATCTCAGTGGCTGCGAATGCAGATGAAGGCTCAAGTGGTACGAGGTACCCGGTTGTCTTGGTCTCCTTGCCATTGGATCAGGGTTTTGTTCTGTCAGGAGCTTACGTGGAAGTTGA